CCCTCTTGAGACAGTCTGAAGGGTAGAATAACATATTTCACTGCTTGCAACATCTGTAAGTGCTGGTCAATTCATTACTGCTGTATTAGCATTCTTCCTATTTCATTTGCCTTTGTTACTGAAAACGTTACCACAAACTTCAGCAGAACTTCAACAGTGGTTACTTTGCTCAAGAAGAGCTCTTGATTAAGATCTTGTGCATGGGTCAGCAAATAATAAACACAAACAGATTCACAGAAGTACCAGCAGAAAATAGTTGTTCATGAAGATTAAGTTAATACAAACATTGTTTAAATGAAAGGTTCATTGTGAAGACATTTTTGGAAACGTTCCAAAAGTTCCATTATGCCATTTATTTACTATAAATACACTGAATGTCCAAAAGTATCCGGACACCCATGGCTGACACAGGCATTTGTTTGTGCACAGCTTGTATAATCTCCATAGAAAAGCACTGACAGTACAATGGGATGCTCTGAAGAAGCCGCACATGAACCTAAGGTCACCGTGTCTAATGCCAAGCGTCAGCTAGAGGGGTGTAAAAGCCCCAGCATCAGGCTGTGGACTTCCTATTAATACCCTTTATGTATATCAATGGTGTGAACACCGACTGTCTGACAGAAGATCTTCAAATAATGAGACAGGGACCAAATGCTCATGTCCTATTAGGATGTGAAGCCAGTAGAGATGCTATGGCTTGTTTAATGCAGTCTTTGATGCGTCTATAGGTTCGTTCACATTAATGACTGATCTGAGTCACTTTCCTACATGAACGTGAGCCATCAAGTTAAAAAGATCCGATCTAGGCAACAAACTGGTATTGAGCAATGATGCATGTAATGTGAACATAGCCAAAGTGGCTCAGATCTAATTAAAAAAGTCGGATTTGTGCCACTCCAGCCTGACTATGTGAACGTAGGTTATTTGTCTGCTCAGGTAAACGCCTAACTTTGGCCCAAATCAACATTTTGCCACGTCTCAACCTGTCCCTGAAGCGATAAGACCACACACAGTATGTCGATTTGATTAGTTTTGAATGGAAATTTGCAAGTAACCTTTATCAAAGAGGCACAGGAATACCTTTAAGCATCTGTTTTTTAGCTAAATGAAACATGCAGTGAGCCTCCACAAGTCAACTGATGAAAAATATGATAGGTTTTAACTTTATTTGCAAGATTATAAGAGCGTGTAATTCTGTATTTGCTAGGATGCTTAAATACGAGACATACAAATACATTCGAACAAGCCAGCATAGCTCGCAAAACTGCCTTTGCGACCTAAAACTATGGAGGTATATTTGCTCACGAGCTGAACTCAGCTAGTCATCGTGTTGTCAGTGTGACATCAGGACAATCCCTAACAACAATAACGCCAACGTTAACCCTTTACACCTCAACACTACGCATGTTCAGATAAAGTTGTTTTCCTTTTCTCCAGCTCGCCTGCTTCTTATTCTTATTCAAATTTTCCGTCCCACGGAAAATTCCTAGAAAAAGCTGGCGAATAAGTAGCTAACTTCAGCCTTCAGTTTTTAGTTTTAGAAATCAAATACGACTTAATATCGAGTAATAAACTGTGGTACATTAATAAACATGTTCACCATTTATCAAGAAAAAACATTCTAAACACTTTAATGAACACTAATGCAGTTTCTCTTACCTTTCAAACCTCGACTCTTCGTAGAAACGTTTCAGTCAAACTTCCGGACGCTATGCACACAGACACGACGTGATGAATCCGTAACCACGTCAATCACAGTTTCAGCCAATCTGTGATCGTGATTTATCAAGCCCCGCCCTCTGGCGCTCGCCTGTTTATACTGTGGATCTGTTCAGTGTCGATAATGACCACTAGAGGGCGCACAAAGCCAATGCACCAGTGACGCCACCACACTGACAACAAGAACAGCTCTACACCTCTACATGTGCTTCTTGCTTCGAACAGACTTCCATTTGGTTCACACTCACAACACTTACACTTAATCTGAATTACAAAACATTTTTAAAGTTATAAGAAATGTACACTAATTTTGTCCTTCAACATTCACTCACTCCTGCTATCTGAGCACATTCACCTCTCTGAAATATCTGGAATATTGGAAAGCCACATATTAACTAATAATTATTTGTATGATCTAAATTTCACAAAGATCTTGGGAAGAAGAAAAGTAAGTTATCTGATTGTTTTTCCTTTTTTTATTCTGAGTGATATTATGAAACTGATTTAAAGTTCAACTCCTTTATCTAAATTATAGATTGAAAGTAAGCAATATCTTCCAATTTTTTCCCAAATTTGTTCTTGAGAAAGGCCCTATTTATTGTAATATTTTTTACATTTTTGCTCAATATACTCTATTAAATCCAGACATCTTTTCCTCATATTTAGGCCTGTATTGTAGAAGACAGAGTTGTTCTATATGCCTGTACTATTCAAAAAGATGAAGTGATGTATTGTGTATACCAAGGGTACACACACATTTTTTATAAGGAAAATAAGAATTGGATAGGTTATATATAGTGAAATACCATTTGCTCACTCATTGGATGAGGGATCTGGCCCACAGACCACACACTGGGCAGCCCTGGTGTATGTTATGTAGTTAAGTTATGTATTTGTGCACTAAATCATTTGTGCTGATGGCTTTGTTTTTTCTAAATGGCATAAATACCTGATTAAAAATTTGGTCCACTGTTCTTGTTTCTGGGTCAGTTTTAAGAGTACATATCGTTCATCTCTTTGATGAGGCAAACAAACTGTATTTGTGCAGGACGCTGTTCTTTACTATACTACTCTGAGCGTCCAAGCCTATGCTTATAACAGGTCTTCCCACTACCATTCAGACAACTGTTTAAACACTGTGTAAACACTCTCCTTTCCAGACTTTAAACAGGCCCTACTAAACTCTTATGAGTGATATCTAATAAGCCTAATGTAGTCTGTTATATGCAACACTTCATATAACACTTCTACTATTAAATGGCAGGCCCACTGCATTTACAAATATGCATGTAAATAAAGGAGGATATTTATATTTCAGATATATAACTTCCCTGCCGCACTGGGAAAATATTTTTGCCTGTCTTAGCACGCCATAACTACACTTTACCTTGAAACATAATCACTTTAATACTGCAAAAATTGTATTATGTTTGCATTAATTTGTGAATCAATTTAAGATCTCGTGTTTGAAACATTTTCATGGATCATTCCTTAAAGTTATAAGAAATGTACACTTTAATTTTGTCTTTCAACATTCACTCACCCCTGCTATCTGAACACATTCACCTCTCTGAAATATCTGGAATATTGGAAAGTCACATATTAACTAATAATTATTTGCATTATCTAAATTTCCCAAAGTTCTTGGGAATAAGAAAAGTAAGTTATCTGATTGTTTTTCCTTTTCCTTTATTTTGAGTGATATTATGGGTGCAGTGGGTAGCGCTGTCATCTCACAGTAAGAAGGGCCTGGGTTCGATTCCTGGCCAGGCAACCAGGGTCCTTTCTGTGTGGAGTTTGCATGTTGTCTGCGTGGGTTTCCTCCCACAGTCCAAAGACATGCAGTCAGGCTAATTGGACATGCTAAATTGCCCCTAGGTGTGAATGTATATGTCTGTCTGCCCTGTGACTGGCGACCTGTCCAGGGTGTATCCTGCCTTCTGCCCAATGACAGCTGGGATAGGCTCTAGCACCCTGAAGGATAAGTGGTTTAGATGGTGTGTGTGTGTGATTATGAAACTGACTGAAAGTTCAACTTCATTACCTAAATTCTAGATTGAAAGTAAACTATTCATTTAAAAATATACTTTCAGTAGCTCATAAAAATGGGCCTCATTTACCAATATCTTCCTATTTTTGTCCTAAATTTGTTCTTGAGAGAGGTCCTAAGAGAAAGTCAACGTCAGATTCATGACGTGTTTTCAAACCTCAGAATTATTCAAATCTTTGTGCTCTTGAGTGTGTGTAGATTCTGTTCTTACCTAAGAACAAATCCTAAATAAGAAAACATTGGTGAATGTCAGACTCGTGATGAAAACTGTGTATGTGGGTTTTAGGAAGAAACTTCTCTTAAGAACAGTTGGTGAATGAGGCCCAGTGTTGTTAATGTCCTCATGCCATTAGCATTGATGCTAGTCAACCACATTTAGTGTATTTGTTAATTCTATGTTAAAACTCAACCTTGTTACTCATCTAAGCCTTTGTCAGCAAAGAAGCATTGTAAAAACTACATATTGTTCCTAAGACTAGTTAACACATTTCTGAATAGTTATATGGTTGTTTTCTTGAATTCAGTGTTGGTAAATGGCAACTTAAATAATGTCCATCTATTCAAGCATCATAACTTGTCATCTTTTAAACTATCTCCTCCTCTTTCCTCCCATCTGTATTTGTTACTCGTCAAAATGTGTTACTTTTTTGCGCTTGATTATGTTTGCATTACACTCCTTACATATTGCCCTAAATGAAACCTAGAAAACTTGCGTAAAAGAATGAAACGCATAATTTGTCCATGGCATCCATAAAAGGTACTAAGAAGGGAACAAAGGGCAGGAGCTAAGTGGTTTCGTGAATTTGGGTCCAGTAAAGATGATACTGAAGACACTGGTCCTCAGAACATACTTTTCATGTAAGACCTCTGCCTATTTAAGGAGCGTTTAACTGTTATTAAAACAGCTGTGTGGTTTTGCAACACAAACTGAAATGGAACAGCCACCAGTATCTTCTCTGTCCATCTCATGTAAAAGCTCCCACACACACCACACACACTCAAACACACACATACACACACACACAGGCCTGTCTTTTTCTCTAAATAAGGCAGCCTTATCTGCCTTTCTGTCAATTCGGCCCCATTCCTATGAGTATCCCATTCTGTGGTGTACAGGCACAGGGGGAGGACACAGCCTGTACATTCTTTGCCCTTATATGGCCAAATCCCTGCTTGGGCCCCGCCCTATTTGGGACAAACAGGGCGTTTGATTGGCCGAAAGCAAAATGGGCGGGGCGTATTACTAAGCTGATGCTTTCAACAAACTTTTCTCCAGTGATAGTAACTGCCTTCCCTCTTCTCTCCACCGCAAACGCAAGCAAACCCTAGTAGGCTAGTCACCTCTTCACCTGAAGCTAAAGGTGAGCAGCGTCTTTGAGCCTCTTTGCTGTTTTACTTACCTGTGTAGAAGGTAGAAAGGCTGTGGTCAGCAGTGTTGGGTTTTGTTATGTACTGTACTGCGCTCTGACTGACCGTTGGCTTGTGTGGATGAAGCTGCTGACGTATGTGCAGTTAACGCTACATGGCTGTTGGAGAAAGCTAATCCTGAGGAGTTTTTTGCTATCTTTTAGTGCTGGGCGAGACTGATTTCTAATATAAAATGTATCAGACGATATTTATTTTACATAAAGATAATGGCCTCATGCTTAAAGGATGTCCTACAAACCTGATGTGGCGTGTTTTGAATAGTCAGTTTTGTTCTATTTTCTTCTCCTGGAATTACACGAAAGGGCAGGTTAGCAGAACACAAATGCACCCAGTTAGCATCTGAAGCATCCAGCAAATGAAATGCTCATGTTTTTCCTGTGTACCATGAGTAATGTGCACAAAATAGAATGGAAAAGCAGACTTAGCAGCAGGGGCACTGCTACTTTATGATAATTTATATTATTAATAATAATGCTCATTATCTGTTAAATATATTACTGAAAATATCGCAGCATTATCACAGTGCGTCAACATCACGCCAAGGTTGCAAAGCAACATGTGAGATGGCTGTTTATTTGGAGGGGGCTGAACTCAACTGAAGTTGGCCAAGTGTTAGGCCTTCAGAGTGAAAGGGACAGTTGGGGTTTTCCCTCCATCAGGGTGGATCAGAAAGAAGAATTTCACCGGCTCTCTGACCCATTTAGACTGAGGACTGAGGTCCATGCTTTCCATAGCAGATCAGTGTGTTCCACTGTCTGTGTGTGTGGGAGTGTGGTGTCTGTAATGTCCAAGCATTCTCTGCCATTTAGTCCTGGACATCTTCACCACTGCACTCAATAGTTATTTCCTCCTATATGATGCATACAGTGAGATCCCCAAACAGCTTTTAGCTATGATCTACGGTGCTAAAGCTTGCAATGCTCCAAAGAAAGTGTCTCTCCTTCATTGAAAGGATAGACTGATGGATTTCTCACCATCTCTCTCATTCATTGAGAGTTTATTTTGACTTATTTTGCCTTGGCCGAAAGTTCATTATCCCCCCAGAACTAGAGATGTGTCTGTTGTAAGAGTAGAGGCTATGTGGAGAGGCCCAACAGAGAACAGAAAAAAGCGGTATTCTACTCTGGATGATTAAGCTAAATTCTGAGGACTGTCCCTTAGGAATATCCAAACGTGTTTGACTTTGAGCTTAAGCTATCTGGCTAACTGAGAAAATCCTCCTTGAAATACACACTGAAATACCACTGAAATACCACTGAAATACCACTCAGATAAGAGAAGAATGTGGATTAACTCCAAAGGTAGTTACAACAAAAAGGAACTACTCACAAAACTAAATCATTAGCTAAAGCAAAATTATTAGCTAGTTAATCATCATACTGACACAGCGAAACTTGAAGGCAGTTAATTATCATATCTTTATACATATGAGATTTTCTGTGCCATAAAGCTCGATGTTGGTTATGTTAACCCCTATTGAAAGAGGTCTTAGTAAACATTTGTCATCACTAAAGAGGCTTTATAGTATTAGAACCTTTGGGAAAAGTTTGAGAATAGTTCTGTTTTTCCCTTCTGCTTTTAAAGTGTTATTTCTGAAGCTAGACAGGGACTTTGTTTGCAGTTTCCCAAGTATGTTAGCAACCACCTCACAGACAGACAGACAGATAGACAGACGTACCCAAACTTAACCTGACATTTACAGTAGGAGGTTAGTTGAATAGTGTTTAAAACCCAAACAAAACTGATGACAGAAAATAGGAGGGGAAAAGTGAAAACCCATAGAAAGTGAGTCTACGTTGTAGAAAGCAAAAACAATAGGAATTTAAATGGAAATCCTTCCTTTTTTTGTCATGTAGCTGCTGTATTTTCCTCACAATAAGCTTTTAAAGTGACAAAGGTGAGCCAACCACAGGAAATTTGCATATCAGATAAGGCTTGTGTCAACTCAGCATTTACAAGAATTTGCTTATTTTATTGTTGATACTATGAGACAGTAAGTCTTTATTGAGAGCACAACTTAATGAACGTTTAGAAAGGACAGTGAAGAACTCCACTTGCTCAAACAGGACCATATTTGGGCCTGCTCAACATTTAAGTCAACATCACTGCATCCTTCACGGACATCTCAGTTCAAAGATTCTTAGTGCTCACTATCAAGAGATGCCGCTAAAGGGGAAATCCACCAGTTTTTCTAAATTTCTGCATGATTCTTTTATGAAAATAAGTAAAAAAGACATTTGGAGTAGTTTGATATGAAATGGTTAATTGTAAAGAAACTTAGTCACTCAGATTTCTTTGCAATGTTGGTGATAGAAACCAGAGTTTTTAATTTCTATGCCACTAATATAGCTATTTTTTTACTATCCTAAATGACCAGTGAACCTATATGTCTTCCTTGTTTTTGTATGTAATATTGATAATGGTAAAATAGTGGTCTGGAAAAAAAATGATTGGTCAAAACTTTATCTGAAGGACTGTAAAACAATGTTTCAGACATAAGGCAGCGTATTCCAAACCATTACATGTAATGGCTTTCTGTGAGGGGAGATTTTAGAGGCATTAAGCACTTCGGATGTCTGGTTCCTATAACCATTCCTGTGAACAAGTGACTTGGAGCACATCAAACCACTCTGAATGACTGTTTATATCTTTTTAAAAAGATTTTTAATCTATTTATTTAAAGAGACTGTTTAATCTTGCAGCAATTTTAAAAAATGGTCTATTTGAAAATGCCAGCTTTACATTGTGTGAACATTTCAGAATAAACCAACCAACAAAAAAGTCTGGATAAATGAATATACTGTAAAGTTAGGAAAGTTTTTACTGCTCCTATAAAGTTATCTGAGATACAAGGTTTTGTTACAATAGTGATGATATGCTATTCAGGATGTGATATATCATCATTTACAATGTGTTAGTCACTGCACTATACTGGTGTCCAGTGTGTAGCTCATGGCCTTCTGTTCCAGCATGAGTCAGTGCTAGCTAACACCTGTCTCTCTGATCTCTATGACAGTGTGTATTAAAAACAAGCACATCGGATAATAGCAGTGGATGGGTATTAGCAATGGATATTTTAAGAGCAAGCCTGATGGCCTGCACTTCTGATCACACAGCACAAAACAAGTCGTATGCAATTTATTGTTGCTCCCATTATATGTGGATATTGTTGTAGTTCTGGGCTGGACATGTTTTGTATTGACAAATTGTATTTTGAGGGGTTATTTTAGTCAGGGTCAGACTAGGCTGAAACATGATTCCAGCCCTGGAATTCACACAGGAAATGAGGTCCCTGAGTAAAAAGAGAAGATACAAAGGAGAAATGGATTCCATAGACTTGTAGGGAAATTCCACCCATTTTTAAAATTTTCTGCATAACTTATTCAATTAAAACGGAAACAAAGTTATTCAGAATGTTTTGATGTAAACTGGATAATTGCAGGGAAACATACTGGCTCCAGTTTCTTTACAGTGGTGTTGATAGGGACCAGGGGTCACTTTGTGTACAAAGGGAATATAGCCATTTTATTCACTATCCAAAACCACTAGTGAACCTACGCATCTTCTGAGTTTTTATATGTAATGTTGATGTTGGTAAAATAGTGGTAAATGTGAAAAATTAAGTTTTCTTTGGGGACTATTTTGCATTACCATGCACTGCGTGTACCCTCCCGCATGAATATATTTTAAAAAATACGTTATACACTGTCGCAAAACTATGATTAAACAATATCTCAGGTATCAGGCAACATATCCATAATGCCCTACATGTACCTCTTGTCAATGAATGTTTTTTGAAAACTGATGTTTTAGGCCAAAACCTTCTTAGATCTATCATAAAGCAATGTCTCAGGCGTCAAGGCAGCTTAATAGCTTTCTGTGAGGTAAATTTAATAAGTATCTCTAAAGGAAAGAATTTCACATCAAACCACTCTGAATTACATTGTTTTGTATCTTAACCTTTTAATTATTTAGCAATTTTGAAAAGTCAGTGGAATCCCCCTTTAAAGTATCTTTGGCTATGATAATAGGTATATAATGACTTGCTAAATAATGGGGGTTTGTTATACAGTGGTGTGCCTAATTTTAACACATCCTTCCTGTATTGACAGATGTAAGTCAACACCCAGATGTAGTGGAAGACGCACAGTAATGTTTTTCAGATAACAAACACACCACTGCTGTTTAACATACAAAGTAAAGCTGGTCTTTGAAATGGCGTGTGCTGTTTCTTCACAAGCAGAAGGGAAATTTTGTTTTCTGCTAAAGTGAAATCAAGCATACAGTTACTGGATTACCTGCATGCATACACACCCAGGCACACACACAACAGGGCTTGGCCAGACTGCATGCTTGAAGTAATTACAGGCATTTTACACATTCAAATGTGGGTAAGATCCCTGGCTGTGCATGACTTTACTGGCTTTCTGTGGTGCCATGGCTACATCACTGGAGTCAATATCACAAAGAAATTTCCCAGAAGGATCAGTAAGTGTGATGGTTTGGAACAGAGACAGGATTCCATGGGCTGCTCTATGACAACACCCTCATGTTTCCTCTTCCACTGTTTCATCAGTCATAACTCCAGTCTTAAGCCTGTTTTGAAGACTTTTGGCAAACAGTGCACTGTTTAACAAAAGACTAATTAAAGATTTTTTTACTCATCAAGCATTGATATCTCTGCAGAACAGGAAATCTGTCAAACTAGTAGAAGCTCCAGTGTTGGACACTGAACAGCTCTACAGCGTCTCATCTCTCACTCTCGTCCAGGTCCAGCCAGGCGCCATCATGTCCAGCAAACGTGCCAAGGGGAAAACCACCAAGAAAAGGCCTCAGAGGGCCACCTCCAATGTATTCGCCATGTTCGACCAGTCCCAGATCCAGGAGTTTAAGGAGGCCTTCAACATGATCGACCAAAACAGGGATGGATTTATTGACAAGGAAGATCTACATGACATGCTGGCCTCCTTGGGTGAGTCAGAGAAAGAGAAAAACAGTGACATTTATGGGTGCATTTCAATGTTTATAATAGGTGTTTGAAAATGCAAGAAGGCACTGCATTGATTGTCATAACTGATTATTGGTTAGGTCTTATTGAAATATGGCATCTACAGTACTGTGCATAATTCAGAGACCACCCTTCATTTATTTAATTTACAGTCAAAACAGCCATAAAGTACAGGATTTGTTATTTTTTAGTGTAAAAAAACAGAAACAACAAACAAAATACACAGAAGCCTCAACAATTGAATGCATCAAATTGTTCAGTATTTAGTGTTTTGCCAATTTGCCTTTATAACAGCTTCCATTCTTTGTAGGACACTTTAAGTTTTTCAAAGAAATCTGAATCCGCACTTCCAAAGTTCAGTCTTAGACGTTGGCTATAGTTTCTGCTTTTCACAGTCATACATACTGAGGTCTGGACTTTGGGATGGCCAGTGGATTTTTCTGAGAACACCAGCAGCTTCTTTGTTTAATTTGCAAACTTTCCCTTCTTTATGCTCATGGATTATTTTACATGCAGTCTCCTCAGACATATCCCCTGCAAATGCATAACTTGTCATTATTGGACATTTTGACTGGCAATTCTGAAATAAATAAAGGTTGGTCTCTGATGTTTGCACAGTATTGTAATAGCTGTGTGAAATTTTATTATATTTATCTATTCTTGAGAGTATAAAAGTGGATATATCATTTTTATTGTCAGTATTCCACTACTGTATAAATAGTCTCTCCAGTGACCTTTGGGTATTCATTATATTTTTAAAACATTTTTGGATCAATTCACAATAATTGAATTGTGGTAAAATGTATGCTGAAATCTCAAATCACAATTGAATGAAATTATCATGATGTTAGACCCTTAAAATTAATGCATGGGGTATATAACAGCATGTAAACTTTTATGGCGTCATAAAATATTTAGACTTTTTGTATTTCAGACACACCGACATTACTCTGAAAGTAATTACTGCATTTTCAGTTGGTTGCAATGGCTTGATGTATCTGGTACCTGTGTGCAGGTAAGAACCCGTCTGATGACTACCTGGAGGGCATGATGAGTGAAGCTCCAGGTCCTATCAACTTCACCATGTTCCTCACCATGTTTGGAGAGCGTCTGAACGGAACTGACCCTGAGGACGTGATCAGGAATGCCTTCGCCTGCTTTGATGAGGAGGGCTCTGGTGAGCCAAATTTAACACTTACGTACTACTGACTTAATGTCTATTCTTAAGCAAGCTCTCACCTTCAGAGTTTCCAAAAAAATAAATGATGCAAAACTGGCCTCGTATCAAAGAAGTGTTTTGTTACTAATCCCCAGCTGGGAGGGATTTATTTTGAGATGCTTATGCTGGATACATTTTAGGTTTACATGTGCTCTGAGTAGATGCTATGGTATTTTACAAATTCTTGAGATTACTGCAATTTTGATATATAGCAGTTATAACTAAACATATAACCTATATGTCACACCTTTATGTCATGCTAGTGTCCTCCCACAGGCCTGTTAATACTTTTGCTTCATCTGTGCAGGTGTGATCCACGAAGATCACCTAAGAGAGCTGTTGACTACTATGGGAGACCGCTTTACTGATGAGGAAGTGGACGAGCTGTTCAGAGAGGCTCCCATTGACAAGAAAGGAAACTTCAATTACGCTGAGTTCACTCGCATCCTCAAACACGGGGCCAAAGACAAGGACGACATCTAATCTCCCACAGACTCTTATGCCTGGCTACAGAGTGCATTCTGTTCAGATAAATGATGTACATATGATATGGAAAAAAGAAATTGTGTTATTCTAAAGCTAAAAATCTGCTATCATGATAAAATTTGGATGTTACCAAGGTACAAAAATAGGACTCATGTAGACTCAATGGTTATAACTACTTACCTCTGTTTATTTGCCTCTCCAGCTGTCCACGTGCCTTAAAGAATTCTGTAGCCCACAGACCTGTGTGTATGTTTATTTCCGATACTAAACAGATATTATTAGGGATATAAAGTTATGCAGCAGAGATAAACAACAAAAAATATGCAATGTTTTGTGACATAACATTGTTTCAAGCCTCATTGGGAATCAATTACTTTAGTCAGATGAAATTGATTAGAACATTGATTACTCGTCCAGAAGAAACCATAACATCGTTTCTTCCTTCAGCAGCAATTGTAGGTCTGTGGTGTGACCCAATGATTTATGCCCCTTAAAACTGCTTGCTTATTGAAACACAGCTGAAGGATTTTAATGGAATTCATGAGTCATGTGTGTAATGACATGAAGACCAATAATCAGCAAGCTTTTGGACAGGTCAATTCCACCTAACCAAAATTTCTAAATATATGTAAAATTAGTATAATGTGTTAATAAAACTTGGATTACTCCAATCTGAAAAAATACAAAAGCAGAAAATTTTGAAAATATTCTGGAAAGTTGGCATCCTTTAATGTGCCTTAGCTTGTCATTGTGGGACCAATGAATGATGCAAATGTTCTACCTGTGTCAATCTCATTATCAGATAACTAATTAAATGGGAGATAACCACAATGGCTGTTCATATTTTCCTAAAACTTCTGTCATGTTGGATTTGGCTGAGCTAATGCAGATAGAGTTTTACATACCTCAGTTAAAAGAGAATTACAATTTTTCAGAATTTCTGCTTAAAGATGTAGGTAAAGTCATCCAGTGGTTTGATGTGAAACTTTAGGAGGAACTTATTGAATGAATTGTTTACTGGTGATGGTGATAAGAACCAGAAGTCTAAAGCATTTTATAATATATTTCTAAAGACTCCATTACAGCAAATTACTACATGAAATGGTTACACATATGTTGTCTGATGTCAGAGACATTGTTTAAAAAGTTTTGAAAAGCTTTTGGTCTACAAAGGATTTAAAAAAAAACAAAAAACATTCTAATATGGCAGAGGTGCACTTACAGGGCGTGGTAAGGCAAACTTCAGATTCATCAGTATATTTCCATTATTAACATTACTTCCAAAAACTCAGAAAACATGTAGGTTCATGGACATATTGGACAGTAAATAAATTGGCTATGTGCGCATTGTAAACAATCACAACCCCTGGTTCCTACCACCATCGTTATAGAAAAAAGAAAAAAAATAGACTTGGTAAGTTTCTCTACAATGTATTGATTCACCTCAGACCAAATCACACTCATACAGCCAAAATTATATGAAAATTTGACTTTTATTTCTCTGAAATGTTTGTACAAAAGGAGGGAAAAAATAACCACACATCACAAGTTTAAGGCAGATATTGCACAGACTAGTCCAATTTCTAGAAAAGCTGGGAAGATTCCCTTGTTCTCAGGTAAGGCACAAATGCCAAGTTTACTGTCCATACTTATTTACTCGATACACTTACATGAAATGTCAGAAACAAACATTATTCACATCCATCTTAATGTTTTTGGTGAGAGAGAGCAAGAAAGAGAGAGAGAGAGAGAGATACACATTTTATATATAGTAAAAATGAGAACTATGCCAAAGACAAAACCTGACCCAGTAGATATTTACATGCGCTTAACATTGGCATCTACAAGACCCATTCTCAGCTAAATAGATACAGTATCTAGAATATTAACATCAGTCGTTCTACCGAAGTGAAAAAATAGAGCATCTTTTAAAAATATACGTATTCATCCAGTACCCATCATTGTTCCAGTAAGTCAGCAACTAACGGAATGCTCACAGTGGTATCTGAAGTAGTGGTACACTGGGTTTATCATGTAGTTAAACACAAAAACGTGTCAAGGTTTTGCATTCAGAGAGCCAAAGCTGGGCTTCTGAGTCAAATACTAGCCTAATGCATTACCCATTCTCAAATAAACACCTTTTTTAAACTCACTATTCATAACCCAGTGGCTCAACACTGTACTAGAGGACCACATGACACTTACCCCAACCTGAGAGACAAGCTCAATGCTGACAATCAATAGCAGAAAATGACACCACAATGAAATGGTTACAGTACTGCAGAAATGCTCAGACAACACAAAACACAACTGATAAAAGGCCAGCTTCCTCATACATAACCATACACATTATTAGAAAACATAAGACTAGAGTAGATCTTTACACATCAGCATTTGCATGATTAGAGCACAATATTGAGTTAGCTTAGTTTGACGGAAACTGGTTAAAGAAAAAAAAAAAATAAAAAAAAATAATAATAAAAAAGGCATAACGACAAGAAAATGGCACCACTGTAAGTAAACTGAAAGATAATATGCATTAAATACACATACCTCATGCTTAGACAGGCACAAACTGACAAATTTTAAAAAACATTAAAATCAGGACAGAAAAAGGCATGTCTGCAATAATACATGACAACAGTTTCATGGAAACTATGACCATAGAAAGAAATGAGGCCACTATCAGAGGGCTGGGGTTACAATAAAATCAACAAAGATCTGAGGAAAGTGAAGTGAAACATGAAACAATTGGGTCATAAAGTTAAAAAAAGGCTTAAAAATAATGCCTACTAGCATGCAGACTAAGGCTGAATACCAACCATGGCCAACCATGAAAGTATCAACGTCATGTCAGCAATGCATATCAAATCCCAAGCACGGACATACTTTGCGGCTGCCCATAATGCATCCTTGTTAACCTTTAGCAATACATCAGTAGACAATCTGTAAACTTTTGCCCATTACTGAATATAGGTTTAAAAAGGTACAAACTCCAAAATAACAGTGTCAGCCAATACAGGTATCGAAATACTACTAGTGACTCCGTCCCTCAAGTCTTGGAGAAACAAAACTGGCTCACAGCAATAGAGCTCCCACACTGATCACTGTAACGTATCTCTCACTTCTGCTCCCTCCCGCACTGTCTTTATCAGACACAAACAAGACAAAACATTTATGGCATCTCATGGAAGCAAAATGAGGCTTTGTTCCCTCTAAAGCCTGGAGCACACCAGCCCAAAGTTTTCAAAACAACAACAAACTCAAAGTTGGGTTGATGCACCAGTGTGTGATCGTGGGGAAGTCTCTAGAACAGAGGTGGGGAACGCTGGTGGTGAAAGGCTACGTTTGGGGGCTTTTCCTGCTCAAGCACACTTGATGTGACTCATCAGTCGATGGTCAGGCTCGGTTAGAAAGTTGGAGCAAAGAAAACGCCAACCTGTGCTGGACTCCAGCCCTCGGCTTCCCTTCCCTGCTCTGTAACGTTGTCCTCCAGTCACGCTGTTCTAAAATATTTTCCTCCATTCTCACTGCTTCATGCTGCTTGTCAGCTCTTATTCTGAAAGCGTTTTCTGGAGAACGCTGGGTCAGTGTGCCACAGCCCTGTAACACCATGACCACCCACATTTAATTTGGTAAAAGGACTACAACCCAGTTAAAACGTGTCTGACACGGAAAGGCAAAATACAGCATGGCTCTCAAGAAATCAATGACCACTCTGCTGCTATCTGTCTGGACAGGGTCGCTGCAGAGGCGCAGTCATGCTGAGCTATGTGCTCTGCAGTACAATCAATTTCCCACCCATCTGTCTCCTCACTCTCATCTTTAGATCTTACTACACAGACACTGCACACAAAGCAGGGCGGAGTGGGCTGGGGAAGACGATTTGGGATGATTTAGAGTAAGAAAAAATAAATCTCTATGACCTTAATTTGGGAATGAGCAGCGTAAAAGGGTTTCAGTTTACATTGAACATGATCATGTTTACAAGTACTGGCAGCAATGAAAGATACAGAAATAAAGTGCAGAATGTACAAATGACCATACAAAAACACAGATGTGAGAGAAAACAGTCTGGAAAAGTTGATCCTTGGAAGTAGTGGTTTCATTTGCAGTGGTTTCAGGCAACTGGAACGAGGTATCAAATAACGTACGAGGCTACAGTATGGGAGGAGGTTTTAGCACACACAGTAGATCTACTCCTAGACTGAACAGGGATTTTACATCCAGGTGCTTGGTCCTCAGTTCTCTAACAGACGCTGATTTTCAAACCACCAGCAATCAGACACTTAGCATGCTGGTTTTCTAGGAGCATTCAAGAGTCACACATAAAATTAGCTAGCCATGCTACATAAGAGTCTACTGATCTAACCCTAGGACAGGACATTGATGCATACAGGCAAACACAATCTAACTGCAGTTCTTAAGTATAGAAGAACTTTCACAAACTTCTAAGGCAAATACTGAGCAAGGCCACTTGTATAACTCCAAATGTCAGTCCTGAAAGCAAATTCCACCATTTTAAAAAGTATTTTCTCTGATACAGAAAACACTGAAATAACGGATGCATCTCATCTTGTACCACATGACTAACTCTGCTGGTGTTTATGGAAGTCCAGGATAAAACTGTTAGTAGGAATCTGAAAATGCCCAGTTTAGTATTTTTAGGCCCAATATTATCAAATGCTCAATTGCTATTGTGCAGAAGTGACAAGACACTAAATACTTCTCATGTAGTGATAATGTGAAAGTCATTTAAAAGTTTTGCTGCTTAAAAAACATCTTTTGTCAATATAAGGTGATCTTGGTGTCTGATTCTACAATCAGGTTATCTGACACATACGCAAAAAGTTTCCAGCTGGTTATCTAGCAACCATCAGAGGACATCCATGACAACCGGGGATTATTAGGGCAACCGAATTCAACAGTAACATTACTGTCACATGGTTGTCCTTCTCCAACCTAAATAAGAGACTTCGACAGATACATGAATAAGAGAATCCACAGCAGAGATGTTGCATTCATTAAATGGTTGAAAGGGAATGTACTTTCTAATCTTTGTTTTTCGTCCCTTATAACTGAGCGCGCTTGCACGCACATGTCCTGGTATAATTTCTCTCAATTGACCGTTTCCCTGACTGCATGGAGTGTATGTTGTGAACTCCAGGTGTGCGTGACACTGCTTGGGCTTGGACTGGCTGGTCGCACTGGGCCGTGGACCACACTCCACACGCTGCTTGGCTGGAAACTCACAGCTGAAGTGACCCTCTGGGGCACCAACGCCAAGCTGACACTGGGCCCTCCAGAAGGGGGTGCTAGAGCTGAAGCATTTAACACTGGCACAGACACTGGGAGAACACCCTTCTCCTCCAGGCTCAGAGCAGAGTCCAACTGGCTGCTGGAGACAGGAACCAAGCTTCTGCTGCTCCTTTCTCGCTCTAGGTCCTTGCTCAGAGATTCTGTACCCGAAACAGCAGGGGGTGCTGTAGCTGAAGGTAGCTGCTGCTGCTCCTTCTGTCTCTGGCTTTCCTGCTCGGCAGCTCTCTGTAGCGCTGCGTCCACTAACAGCTTCAGGTCACTAAAATCGTGAGGGCACAGCTCCGGTGGGGTAGGGGGTGGCGTGTTGAACAGCACCCCAGTAGGGCTCATCGTACCCAGGCTTGAACTGCTGGAAGAAGAGGGTGGAATGGTAGTGATGCTGGGGTTAGGAGAGCCAGCTAAACCTTCTTTTTTCAGCAAACCCTGAGTGTCCATCTGCATAAGAGCCTTGACGCCTCCATCTCGATTTGTTACACCGGAGCCCACCAGGCAGCCAGCCCCTGCCAAAATGGCTGTCGCTGTGTTACCCAGCATGCTCAAATCCAACGTAGGGGCGGGGCGAATGACAGAGGGGCGGGGTGTGGGCACAGAGGGAGGGGTAGCGTGGTCTGGAGAAGAGGAGCCGACTGGTCGACTGTCTGTTTTGCCAGCGCGGCGGGAAATGGTGAACTGAGTGGGGTCTTTTCCATCCTTCCTGAGCAAGTCGGGAAGCAGCCGTCGTCTGGCATTGATGAACCAGTTACAGATCTATCACAAATAGAAAATACATAAGTATTACACAAATGTATATGCCAAATGAGCATGAATTAAAGGAATACTCCACTGTTTAACCTGTGTGCTGTACCTGTAGCATGCAGTTAATCACTGCAGACAATTTGGACATATTTTCTGTGCATAATAGAGCAACAGAAAAACTGAAGCCCTCTCCCATTGGCTTTTATTATAAATATGTTGAATTAACAGAGTGCTGTCTGTTGTAATTGACTATACAAAGTGGCAATGAGTTCTTTAATACCATTTATTTTGTTGTTTATACTACACACTCAATGAGTACTAATCCTCATACAGTGGCCCCAATAAAAGCATTTGGACATTTGTGCCATACTTAAGTATATAAAGCTCCGTGGCTCACACAAGTAGCAAAAGTCACTTCCCCTGGAAAAACTAATGAATCACAAGCATCAGGCTCTACTAAATTTCAGAAGGTCTGGACACTCTGTGGCTATATTTGGACAAGATGATGTTACCTGTGGTATAGTTCAAAATATCTTTCCCTCTCTCACTTATGAGTTCATGATCCTGTCTATAAACACCTGCTTACTAACACCACTGTCAGAGTAACAGCCCCAGATGTCTGTGCTTTACAATACCCTCGTTGCAGTCTGTTTCAGAGAAAAGCACTTTTAGCACAATGTCAAACTAATGGTAGACTCTGTCTGGAAAAATTAGAGAATTCTAAACAAAGATAATCATTAAACATTTTATGAAGTGACCTAATGAACTTTAGGTTTAGAAAAAGTGGTTAAATGGTTAAATGTTTCCATATACTTACGGCCACTCTATATGCTGATACTAAATAGCAATTGACAACTATAAATAATGCGATTTTACAAGACCTGCATACAGAATCTCATGATTTGTTTCATCTTTACTCAACTAACATGATCATGCTTACAGGGGAATTCCACCATATTCTCAAAGTTTCCCCCGAATTAAATCAGGATTTAAACAAAGTCATTCAGAGTGGTTTGATGTGAAATGCGGCATTCTAGAGAAACGTAACAAGTCAGAAACATTCAGTGGTGGTGAGAAGAACCAGACATCTGAAGAGCTTAATGCCTCTAAAAGTTATTTTACAGAAAGTCATTACACAATGATGTACAACAGTTTTGAGAAGATCAGCATTACACAGGCCTGTTATGATCATGAAATTTTAACTGAAGATTAACTGTTGTACAAATAATTGCAATTAATGATTTGTCTTTTGCTTATTTTATTTAACTAATAAAGTACAAGTCTAAAGCATCTAAATTGCCTTATTAGCCATCTTGCTTAGCTAGCTCTTTAGTTTGCAGCTAAGACGGTTACACTGCATTTTGCGTAAGTATCTACAGTAACACAGTCAGCCAAAGCTTACATTTTTCTTGAGACAACAGAAATGTGAGCTAAAAAACGCAAGCATACATGCTAAAATTGGCATTACATATACTAGCTATCAGATTAACAAACATTCCCACTATAGCACGCAATTTAAAGGTTAAACCTTTAGGTTAGCAGAACTAGAAAAGGTTAGACTTCTTTTATTTACATTTGTTTGGCTCAAGCAAATTAATGAAAACGCATTATGCTTGTTGTGATACAACATGATTGTGAAATCTAACGACTGTGGAAAATAACTGCGGACAGATTAAATGACTGTGATCAGGTGATTATGTAATTGTGACAGGCCTAACATTACATAAAAAACTCAGAAGACACGGCTAAGTTCACAATCTAGGTTATGAATTTCAAATAAAATGGCTATGTGTGTGTTGTAAACATTGTGACTTCTGGTTCCTACCACCACTGTAAAGAAATCCCAGTTGGTAAGTTTCTCCACAATGAGCCATTTCACATCAAACTACTCTGAATGACTGTTTACATCTCAACCACTGAATTAAGCAGTAATTTTGAACAGTGAGTGGAGTAGTCTCCTTTAAGATGTAATCTCACTTTACATCTCATTTTCAGTATTTCAGAGCATTTTTTTTAGTTCGAACTTGAACGACATTCCTTTCCACTGAAGACTCTGTAATGAGATCACTCATTACAGTGCAGTTTAAAAAACATGCAACAACAAGAAAGCCTACAGAATAGGAGACTCTGATTTGACACAGAGACTTGGATCAGTAATGAGATTGCTCAGATCTGACTAGCTATTAACAAAATTACTGAACTACTTCACTTGACAAAGCATAAATTAAAACTCAAACTTACAAAATTGCCCCCTTAAACCAAACAGAGCTGATCAGCTGAGACATGTTTGGTGTGTAAAGTAATGAAGGTCTAGGTTACCCAAAATACTTAATACTGACATCTATTATATTAGTATTGTAGTGAATTTTGGAATCCAAACATGTTTTGGCTCATCAACTGTTTGAGGTAAGGGGAAAAACTGTGTAGATGTGATTTTTCGGTGAACGTTTCCTTTAATAGGCTGATAAGAGCACCTGGCTCCAGCTTATTACAGAACCTTGGGTGCCTGTGTGCACCCTCCAGTGGCTGAACTGTGAACTCCATGCTTTCAAACAGCTGGCTCTAATGGAGATTGGAGGGAAATATGCAAAGCCACAGACAGAGCAAAGGCCTCAGCGCCTGCATTCCTTCACACTGACAACACTGCAGCTCCCGGATCTCAGTCAAGGACAGAACAAGGCTGAGATTTCCCACCCTGTGTGTCCAAGCCATTCAATGCCATTTTTGCTAATGGATTTGACAGCCTGATGATTGCTGAATGCAAAATGTATGTACACTGTAGAAAGAGACAGGGAATACTTGACTATGGGAACATGTGAACACTAAGCATGCTAGAAGACTGCTACAACAGAACTGAGTGGAGTGATGTGCATTACAAAGCTCACCTGCGAGATAGACAGATTAGTCTGCCCTGATAGGCTGAGCTTCTCCTGCTCAGAGGGATAGGCATTGAGACGATGCTCGTACAACCAACTCCTCAGAATCTGAACGGATTCTTTGGGCAGGTTTCCGCGACGGCGACGCTTGGCGGAACCCCCTGCTCCTCCGGCACCGGTCGAAAGATTGAGCGGGTAATTGTCATCCTCGCAGGGGTCACTGTCCGACATAGCGGAAAACTCCGTCTCTCCACCATGCTCCTCTTCATAGACTGAGAAAACCAGGGCAACAGAGGATTTTATTGGTCTCAAATAAAAACACATGGGATAGAAATGGCAGAGGAATGTGCTTTAAACTGGCTCAAGGATATGAAAGAATAGATCTGGTTTTCCTGCATCATCTTAGGCAATACAGATACAGCATGCATTTCAGTTTAATGACAAGCCGTGCTGACAAAACAGTGGATCAGATACACATGTCTACACACATTGATCTGCCTTTGGCCAGATATTTGCTACATTTTCACAGATGGTAACCCAATTATGGACAGAATATGGCAAAACTCCAACTAAGGCGGATATCATAAATACCTTATTCCAGTCATGTATTTAGAACCACTCTTTACAGGGAACAGAAAGCTATTACTTCAGATATCGCAGCATGCAAGATCTTTTACAACATTAACCCTACAGCATAACAAGACTATAATGGGAGCATATTATCAGACCTACTGTTCTTAATTAAACAGTACTGCATAAATATGGCTTCAAAAATTGCACATTTGTCCTCAACTTTCCAACATCATCATGTCAAAATGAAATCTGGTACTAGATAAAGGAGGTTTCCACGCATCTGAGCTTCACAAATATCGGTAAACGTCGATATCATCTCCAAAACCAGCTGGAAGAGCTGTTAAAAGTGACTCTGCGTCTGACTGATGAAACAGACTGCTGTAACAGCTTGTATAGAAATGTAAAAACCACATGTTCACTCTGGCACTGCAATGTGACAAGACGTGAATAATATGCTTACAAAGACTGAGCACACGCATCTTTAGAGCTTAGATAATGATTACCTAAAGTCAAGGCAAAGAAGAGGTGGGGTGGGAGTTAATCTATCTACCCTTTAATTTCCTCCCTTTCATCCCCTATGCTTCCTCCTCTTTCGATTTACCACACAAAATCTGGGAACTAGGCTGCACCATTCCAGCCCGTCCCATCAACCTCAAGTGCGGATTGCTAACCAGCTAGGTTTCTTCTTCATTTGGACCGTCCATAAGTAAATACTCCAAAACATCAAACAAGTGCCAGAAACCAAAATCTTAGTTTTTGCTTAACTAATCTGAGAATTATGGGCTGGTTTTGTGGGCATGGATTAAATCGAATATTGGTCTAAACTACAGTGTCAGTGTTTCTCCATTTAAAAAATGTGTTTAGCCTAGGCTTAGGCTTAGGCTTAATGTGGGTCTTGGAAACCAGGCCCAAGAGTTTTACTGTCTTAAGACCTAAAGTGCTGTGAGGAAAACCACTTTTAGGGTCAGTTTGCTGGATAGGGATTAAGCCTAGTCCTGGACTGAATTTACCTTTCAGTGAAAAAACTCCAATCTGAATCACATCTAGTGCAGGACTTGGATTAATCCTTGTCTGGGAAACAGTTCCTTAAGGTCTCAGACTCTGTATTCACTCAATATTAGCCCTCAGATTTAACACCTTAAATCGACAATTTTGCTCCAAATAAATATTCCGAGATTATAAATCTCTAGACTGAATCATTTGAAATATTAAAAATACCATAAGTACACTGAGCTTGGGATGTGCTGGAAAGTCGCTGGGCTAAAGTGCACATATCCCCCATTAGGGGAGGAAAAGAAATCCCACATTTCTACCTCAACTATTTGTTGACAAGTTTGTTGGTGAAAAGCCAGGCTTGAAGCCCCTGGTTAGCAGTCTATGTCCACTCCATAACCTTTGAAATGCTGAACATGACTTAAAACAGAACTACAATGGTGCTCAGAGGGCAAACGAAACGGACACCAGTCTGCCTGTGTAACAATAAAGCAGCGTCTCCGTTGAAAATGTGCTTGCTAAATGTTAGCAACAACATAGTTTTCCTCAGAGAACAACTGAAAAGAAATGCGGCGGTGTGGATTGTCTTTCGCCCCGCTGGTGTAACCCGAACCCCTCAAGAGCAGTTAGAAATGTGGGAGTTCCTACGTGCCCCTCTAACAAAGGAGATTGTGTGTGCAGTATCCGTCTCCAGCACTGAGGGCTTTAGTGCTCGTTTCCATTCACAGAGCTGCCATTTCCCCCTCCCTCCGGACGTGCAGCCAGCCTACAGTCACATCGGTGGACGAGGCTGAAGTTGGCTTCCTCTTCGAATTCCCCGTTCCACCTTAAATGGTGCAGCATTTGCATTAGACCGCTGCACAGGCGCCAGAATGTAACCGCAGCACATTTAAGGTGGAACGGAAAATTCGAAGAACCACCTAACTTCGTCGTCGGTACCACGGCTGCACACATGCTCAGCTGCCTTTCATTAACTACAACCAGTCGACAAACCATACAAACGCTTTAGTGACCCGCATCTACGTCTAGTTTTGATGTGATTTTACGCTGAAATTCAGGAGAAATAAGGAGACACGAGGCTAAATGAAGGCGCTGACAGCAGGTTTGTGGCTGCGTGGGCTCGACAGTTATGAGACCGCGCTGCTGCTCTTGTCATGCTGGCTGGGATAAAAAGTTTCTGAGCTTTCGAGATGTGTGCGTGTCCTTAAAGAGGAACTCCACTGACTTTTCAGCACTTATGTATAATTAAATGATTAACATGTCGATAAAGTCACTCAGAGCAGTTTGGTGTGAAATGCTTTCTTTCGGAGAAACTTACAGAGTCAGAACTGTTCACAGCGGTGGTGATAGGAACCAGACGTCTGAGGAGTTCAGCGCCCCTAAGAACTCCATCACAGAAAGAAAGTTATTACATTCAGTGGTCATAAATGCACTGTCTGGTGTCTAAAAGATCGGTTTATAGTACTTTTAAAGTAAAGTTTGGGTCTAAAACGTTTTTAATCAGTTTGTTTTAATCCATTTATGGCGGACGGATACATGAGGAGTGTTCTAAAGGAACAAAATAGTCCTTAAAGAAAACTTTTTTTTTCAGATTGGCCGTTATTTTACCTTCATCAGCGTTACAAAACAAACTCAGAAAACAACTGTAGGTTCGCTGGCGGTTTTGGATAGTAAACAAAATGTCTAGCTATATTTGCATTGTAGACTCCTGGTTCCCATCACCACCACTGTAAAGAAATCTGAGTCGGTAAGTTTCTCTGCAAATGAACAGTTTCACATCAAACCTCTCTGAATGAGCATTCCTATATCAACCACTGAATTATGCAAAAATCTTGAAAAATCGTTGGAATTCCCCTTCAAGACTTGCTTACATTTAAATGAGTTTTCAATACTAATACTAGTAAAGTTACCTATTTGTGCTGCATTCATTTTAAACAAAACCTCTGTGGTCACTGAGTGAAAAAACAAAACGTTGACGTTAAATTAAAACCCTCAGATTTACAAACACAGGCGCCTCGCGGACAAACTTTCCCAAGCCTGCATCACGCAGCGCAGCCAGTGACGGCAATTTGTCACCGTTTCAAACAGTCAGCTCGCGTTTTACCTCCAAACACTGTGTGAACATCAGCCAAGTGGAATTCCCCGTGAGCCCAGTGTGCTAAGCAGCCAGTTAGCTAACCGCTCAGTTCATGAAACTGCGTCCAAAACAAAAACCCTGTCGATAATCACCCACAACAACATCAGCATACATCAAATTAGCCGCATTATGCTACGGGACATAACAAAGGACACGAAGGGACCACGTCAGACCGCTTACACACGGGAAAAACACACTAAGAAATCCAGAGAGTTAGCCTGGGGAGTAGATTTTTTAGGCTCGAAAAGATTCACAATCCCCGCGATGGCTGCTACAAAAGGAGACATCCAGCCGCGCTCTCCTCAAACATGCACAACTGTCCTCGCTGGCAGCGCCAGATGGACACCACGCTCCATGCTTGGCTGTAGGTTAAGTAACGTTAGCTAACTGGCTACAGCTAACAGCCCCGTCCGCATTCAAACCCAAACACACGCTGCATTTGCTCCCAACAAAAAGCCACATTCCTGTTAAAACCAACAGTCGCACACTCTTCGTCAGCCGTCCACCACAGAGAACGGCTCTGCTTAAAAACAGAAAACTTGCCAAATTTCAAGTTACCTCTTTTAGCAGATTTCATCCTTTGTTGGATAATGTTTCACAAAAAATCCGCAGCTTTCGAAGTTCCTTGGCGAAGAAATGCGTGCTTCCGACAAAACGGTGACAACGGGATCTCTTTTCTTTTTTTCTTTCTCGCCAAGACAAGGTGTTGTTGCTCTCTCTCTTTCCTCCAGTCTGTTCGACAGCCGCTCTCTGTGTATCGCGCCGAAGTGCACCGCAGCTCGTTAACGGATCCGTCTCATTTTCCTGCGCATACCAACCAAAAGCATCAAATCTTGTTGACAAATCTGTCCCGCTTTACCTGCAGTAGAAGCGACGCCAACTCTCGGTCTGCCAGTGACAGCAGCGCCCCTAAGTCCCGCCTCCTCGTGGTCATCCAACCAATCAGAGCCGCCGGCTGCTGTACGCGACGACGCGATGTCATCACCGCCTAATGAGTGACAGCCGAGTTTAAGCGTTACATTCAAAATTAAGCCAACAGATTCGCAAGAAACTCATCGACGCTGACACTCAAACTGCTTTTTAACGGCTCTGATATAATATGCTGTTCCAGTTTCTTGATTAGGATAGAAATGTGGGAGAAATAATGAATTAAGTTCTTCTTATTTTTGTGGCTAGACTGCACTTTCCCACCAAAAGGCCTTTTCCCGGTTGTGTCAAACCACATCTACAGCCTGACTAGCTTAAAGGGGAATGCCACTAATTTTTTACAAATTTTGGCACTATGAATTGGTTAAGATGTACACAAAGTCATTCAGAGAGGTTTGGTTTGAAATGCTACGTTCTAGAGAAATATACCAAGACAGAATTGTTCACAGTGGTGTTGACAGGAACCAGATGTCCACCTCACAGAAAATTATTAGATAAAATGAACGCTCTGTTATGAATACACTGCCTGATGCCTGAGACACTGTTTTATGATAGTTTTGTGAAGGTTTTGGCGTAAAGTGTATTTCCAAGACCCATTCATGGCTGAGGGGTACATGCAGGTTGTTGTAAAGCAAAATAGTCCCCAAAGATGTTTTTTTTAGATTTACCACAATTTTACCATCATTAATATTACATATGATAATATAAAAACTCAGAAGACACATGTAGGTTCACTGGTGGTTTTGGATAGCAAATAAAATGGCTATATTTGTGTTGTAGACATTGTGACCCCTGGTTCCTATCACCACCACTGTACAGAAATCATTTCATTTCACATCAAACCACTCTGAATGACTGTTTACATCTCAACTGCTGAATTATGCAGAGATTTTGAAAAAAAAAGGTTTTTGAATGATTAAGCTGTGACATTTAGAGTGGTTTGATGTCAACTGCTTAGAAACTAAGAATTGTTCACAGAGGTGGTGACAGGAACTAGATGTAAGACATGTTTAATACCTCCAGAAACTACCTCACAGAAAATTCTAAACATATTTTAACATATTAAAATACATTCATGACAAATAGGTACATGCAGGACAAAACAGTCCCCCAAAAATATAGTTTTAAATAAATAAAAAAAAGTTTTAGTTGTATCATTATCAGCATTACATATAAAACCAGAAGGCACATGTAGGTTTACTGGTCATTTTAGATGGTACATAAAATGATAATATTTGTGTAGACATCGCAACTCCTGGCTCCTATCAACACCATTGAGAGTCAGTATTCTTCTCCGTAAGGCACCATTTCACTAAGCTAATATAAGCTGCTTTGGCTGTTTTGGGTCTGTCCATCACGTATCTGTTTTCTTTGTATGATGTCCAACATTGTTCTCACTTTCTACTATATGTATGTGTTTAATAAAACTGCCTTTTGTTACTTTGGACAATGATTCAGACGAATGATAAGAAATGGAAGTTTCTAAAAGCAGGCCTCTAACTTTCTTTTGAAGCCTGTCATGTCTGTAGGCTAATGGATAGAGCCATATGCTGCAGAGAAAAAATCTGGGTTGTGTTAGCAACAGGAAAATGTTTTTGGGGAAAAAAAAGAAATCCAGAGAGTTAGCCTGGGGAGTAGATTTGTGATGCACCTTGTCTATGGAATGCTCTATAAAGTTAGCTTGTAGCTACTGGCTACAGTGCAGGATTCCCAAGGTCTGGTTCCAAAATAGTAGGCCAAGTGTTTTACAAGTTCAGCCTCTTTTTTTGATGACTAAGTACAGTGAATAGACTTCGTTCAAAAATCTTGAAAGGGAAAAGCATATGGTTTCATTTCGCTTCATGTGAATCCTGTGAAGCCTCCCTGTACTTGGATATCCCTGCTGAAAAAACAGCAGAGGACAGCATGAATTCACTCCTGGTCTAAGCTGGTCTATGCAGGTCTAGTGCTGGTTTAGCTAGTCACCCAGCATGGTCTTGCTGGTTTATGAGCACACCAGCATCCAAAACATAACATATGCTGGTTTTGCTGGTGACCAGCCATGCTAGTCTATGCTGGTTTTTTCTAGCAGAGTCTACATAATGGCTGTCTGAAGGTACATGACTCAAATTATGTAACAATTTGTGCAGTATTTTTCTATTTGGTCTCACTTTGTTCATTCTAAAGCGCTACACCAGGTCCTTAAATATCAAGCGACTGTATGAAGTTAATTGTAGGGTGTAGGGAGATACTTTAAGCTACTGTAAGCCTACAGTACTGTTGAGTGGGTTGTTGCTAGCAATCTTCAGTTCAAGATTGCTCAGCCATTCTTTTGTTCTACTAATTTAAGGCCTTCACACAAAAGTATGCAAACCCATGAGAACAGTGAAGGAAGGAACAACAATTAACACCTTTTTGGTTAACTTAACTCCATTTTATTGTATTTCTTACTAAAACAAAGACCCTGACATACACAGCCTAAAATTTATATAGCATTAGAGATATTGAACAAATCCTAGTCAGTAAAATATGTGCTTGTCTCATAAAATATTGATTATCGATCATTATAGTAATAATTATCTCATTTTTTTGCTACAGACTCTTGCATTAAGAGTATCGATTTCATCTTGACCCCCTCCTACCCTTGGTAGTATAACCAAATGGATTTCAAAGCAAAACACAGCCAGAGAAAGACAGGAGACCGAGAGCATGACTAGCTCGTTTTTGCATGTTAGGCTGATGAAGACCAGGGAGAAGAGCAGACTCATGTCCCACTGCAGGGTCACTTGTCTGTGCTTCTGTTAACCCGGAGTGTGTGTGGGGGGTGTTGGGGCTGTCTCTTGGTTGTAGCCTACCGATATTAGCATCTGTGCTGTGTGCCAGTCACTTAAGAGGTATATAAAAAAGTTTGTAGAATCCAAGCAGCGTGAACAGAGAAGAAACTGGACGTCCCCCTGAAGTGAGTCTCAAATTGAAATCTTTTTCCAAAATGTTAAATGTCCTGCAATTCCATGTCTGGGGGCAAATTGTGATGTACAAAAGAAGCACAGGAGAGAAACAGATTCCCAGCTGTTTTCCAGAGCTTTAAGCACACTCTGTTGTCACAGAAGACATGAAGTGCATTGGCCCATTGTGGTCCTAAGGGAAGCCCGCAAATATGATCAAGAACACAGACCGGCAGAGTAAAATACATTTAGAGCTCAATATGTGAACAGCAGGGAATAGATGATTTCAAGATATAAGAACTTTTTTAATGTCCTGATATGTTAAAATGAGAAAAGAACTGTGAAACAAACAATACATTAAATGAAGAAAGTACAAAGCAAATAAATTCTGTAACAACTATGTCAACAGAGCAAAGATGGAAATGGTGGTACCACCTCTGGCCTGAATACTGGGAACCTGGATGCAGGAAGAAGTCCACAATCAAAAGGGGAATCTGGTTTGAATGGTTTCTGAAAGAAAATCTCTTTTCCTCCACCACGCTATCTTTCTCTCTTTTGAAATTTCCTCACTATCTGCAGAGTAACTGATGTTAATGTATTGTAGATTCGACCCACGCTACCTCACCCTTTCTTGAAGCAAGGACAAATCCTCACGCATGTCAAATACCTCACTCTCCTATCTGTACTCCCGGCCCTGTTCTTATAAAATGACTCCAATTCCAGTTACATGTTCAGACGCAGCTGATGCGCTTTAACCAGGGCTGACGAACCTGTGCACTGGCACTCACTCGTGTTTGCACTTCGTTTATAGGTGGCATCAAAGAGCAGCCACTGCCGTTATAACAATATCTGGCCAAGTCTCTAAAAGCATGAAAATCTAACCAGCTTAGACAGCATTCATGTGATAATCTGACAGTTTTCCTGAGAAAAGCAATGGCACCTGTAGATGATTCATTCACATCAAAACCTCAAAAGTCCCTTTCCCCCCAATATTTTAATGTTTTTTTTTCACCATTTGGGAATGCCAGCTACCTCTTTACGTTGCGTGAACATGTTATAGTAAGTGTACCAACAGATATGATCCAAAATGACTTCAATCTTACAAACATTAAATTTAAGAACATTTTTGTCTCTCTTCTATGAAGTTATTTTGAGATACAGTTGCATGCGAAAGTTTGAATACCTGTCAAATTACAATGTTTTACTGACTTGTGAAAATAAGTTGCACATCCTCTATGGGGAACAAACTTAAATGTGGCATTTTACTGCAAATTTTAGAGTACAATTTCTGTTTATTTCCAATATACATCTTGTAAATGTTAAATAAAACACAAAATATACAATGTGCTATAACTTTGCACAGGCCACATTTTTTTGTTTTATTTTTCCCCAATATGTTAAATGCAGCAAATAAACCGTAATTGTGCTCACTGAGTGTTCACTGTAGATGATGTGTTCACTTATTTTCACTTAGAACATCAACAAAACATGTCATTTGACCAGGGGTGCCCAAACTTTTGCATATGACAATATAAGATTTTACTATGACAGCAAAGGCCTGTGTTTGACAGTTGTTTTAAGCTATGGACAACTCTATCAGCAGACATGCATATTCTACTGTCCATTACAAAATGCCAGTTCGCTTGGGTTCTAAGTAGAACTGACGGCCACGAGTCTGCAGGGACTCATCAGACATTGCCTTTAAACCCCGAGGAGGGATAAGCAGCAGGCCGTCAGCACACAAAGCCGCAGGCGTCAATGACCCACCCCCGCACCAAATGGACACAGGCAGAGGACAGAGGAGATCCCATTCACACCATTATTGCAGACAGCAAAGGGAGCCATCACTGACCTGGCTAACACATAACACTGCAGACAATAGAACCCAATCACTCAACCATCTCATCGTATAGAGTGTTTTTAAAGAAAGCGGGTGGGGGGTGAAGGAGAGGTCTTTCCTAGTTAAAAATCCTCATGCCTTCTTAAGTGGAGGGAAGGGTCATCAGAGGAGAGGACTTTTGCTGTTAAACCCATATTGGTCTTGTCAAATTCCTAACTGGACTATGAATGCAATGAGTGAACATCCTGTACAGAAACCATCTCTCCGGATGACTCATGCACATGTGTCTGGGAAACCTACATGTTCAGTGCTCTGCTCTAATAAAAGCAATTTATAATCATTAATGCACACAAACAGTGCCTGTAATCTGTGATCATGAAGTTACAGCCACATCTCCATTTCACGGAGGCCTGAAAGTCATCCAATTCAGTGACTGCTTGGTATGACATGTGTAAAGCACATCCCGCTGTGTGTTGACAAGCCAGAAGCCATTTTGTTATGAAGGTGTTATCTCCTTCCTGCTGCCCACGAACCAAATGAACTCACATCACCCCTGAGGAAAAGACAATGTGTTCTTTTTAGACTGGGCTTTGAGCTGATAACTAAACAGGCTAATTGATAAAAAATAAACCATTGATAAAGCAATACGGATGAATTTAAATCTAAGAACTGCCCACTTATGGCTCTGCATGACTGATTACATGTAGTGATTTAAAATGTAAGTAAGTAAGTGGCTAAACTCATAATTAAAGCATACAACTTTTGGCTTAAATACAAGCTTAAACTGTGCACTCTTTCTCCCTAAACAACTAAATAACAACTTGAAATGGCAACCAGTTTGTCTGAAAAGTAACATCATTTAATGTCTTAATTAAACAGTTTGAGGAAGGGTAATGATGCGTAAAACAAAGAAATTAGGAAGGAAAAACCAGTTTGACTATACAAAACACTATAAAATGCTTTTACTTTGACCATGCCAGCTCAAGGACTTGTGCTTACAGCAATTAATACCTATTACCTGTAGTGCCAAAATACACCACAGGGTGGCACTCCATGATCTACTTTGAGCTATACGTTTTGCTATTGCTGTGGAGTTACTAAAACTATGACATGAATATTTAAATGACTGAAATAAACCCATCAACCCGTCAACAGTTTAGACTGGCCTGAAACACTGCACTGAGCTGTAGCTGAAGCTTTACAGAGAAAAGTCTTTACTGAGAAGTCTCATCCTCTCTCCACAAGGCATGAAGCAGACAGTTGTTTTGATCTGTGGTCAGTCCACAGCAGCAGTGTACAGTAAAGGGAGAGCTACACGTATAAAGGAGCTGGACCTGAGTCTTCAACATGGCTGAGATGACCAGGGGTACAGACTTTAGGCCTGAGGTGTGCAACAGCTCATTCCAAACTCCTTGTTTGTGTGCTTAAAGGGGAATTCCACCGCATTTTTTTAATAGCTGTTTCTTTAATGTGTTAAAATGTAAACAAAGTCATTCAGAGTGGTCTGACGTGAAACGCTCCATTCTAGAGAAACTTGTTGAATTAGAATTGTTCACGGGGTAGTGATGGGAACCAGACGTCTGAAGCATTTAATGCCTCTGAAAGCTATCTCAAAGAATGTTATTACATAAAATAGTCCCTATTTACCGCATTTTTTCAATCCATTCATGGTGGAGGGGTACATGCAGGGTGTTGTGAGGCAAAATATATTTGTCCCCAAATATATATATATATTTTTTATTTACCACCATTTTACCATCATCAATATTATGTATGAAAATATAAAACTCAGACAACATATGTAGGTTCACTGGTGGTTTTGGATAGCAAATAAAATGGCTATATTTGTATTGCAGACATTGTGACCCCTGGTTCCTATCACCACCACTGTGAAGAAAACAGCTAGTCAGTAAGTTTTTTTCACAACAAACCGTTTTACACCCAACTATTCAGAATGACTTTGCTTACATCTGAACAACTGAATTTTATTTTAAAACAATTTGAACATTTGAAAAATTGCCAGAATTCCCCTTTAAGACTGTGGAATTGACCTCTTCTTCCCCACTCTCTCTCACAAAATGCAAAAAAATCAATGCAAAAAATCTAAATGAGCAATAAATGTTTTTTTTTTTTTACTCATTTGTCCATCACATGCAACAGACTTCTCTTGATATTGGAGCAGACAGAAAACTCCATCCAATCATTTCTCCAAAATGCAAAAAAGCATCTATTGCTCCCCAACATGTGACGTCCTACATGTACTACTGATTAGCGATCTTTAATCCTTTTCAATGGGGAATTCTGTATATGGTTCCTTGTGCAGTAACACTTGGGAACACACCTGATAAATGATGTGGAAGCGTCTTTTGATGAGAAAGCCAAGCAGAAGAAAACAATAACAGCAGGATGGGGATAAGAACTACAGTACTACAGTACTATGTCATCTTTTTTCATTCTGACAGGCATTTGTTTATCCTCTTGTCATCACTTCAATGTGTCTGCAGCTCATAATAGAGACGGTGATGGACTGAAATTAAGAAAGCACATGAATTAACAGGAAGACAAATATTCCAGAGAGGACAGACACAACGAGGAATCCTCTGAGCGTGTGTGTGTAGGTGTGTGTGTTCTACGCAAACTACAGAGAAGGCTGTTTTTACTGGATGGGGCAGTGGAGGGGGCAAAAAAAGAAAAAAGAAAAAAAGGTGTGGCTACTTTACTCCACATATTAGAAGATCTCTTATCCAAGATATTAGAACATTTAAAACAGTCTGATATAGAATTTAGGTGATTTCATTATCGATAACAATTTTAATAATAATAATAATAATAATAATAATAATAATAATTGATGTACTAACAATAAAGTCTGTGTGAGGTTTTCCTTGGCAGTCTCTGAAAAGAGCTCTTCATGTGTCTTGTCCATAATTTCCACTCTCTCTCGTCTCTCCTTTCTTGATTATACAATGCCGCCAAAAAAGCAGCATTTTATGCTGGAGCAGGTTTGTTCGATGCCTGTCTCCTCACGCTGTTCTATCTTCTCTCTCCCCCTTTTCTCTTCCTGCTCCAGTTGTTTAACCCTCTCTCTCTCTCTCTTTCTCTCTCACAGCCGTGTCTGGGCCTCTGGGACGTAGATCTCGATGCTGTCTGCACTCTCTGTAGCTGAATTCTGTTTGACAGACTGGGCTCTCTTGGCCGCCATCAGCCTCTTGCGGGCCTCCTGCCTCTGCTTATCCACTGCTTCTCCGCTCTTCTCCCGTCCCAGCGCTGGCTTACTCTTCCCGGGCTTCTTCGGCACAGGAGGAGCCTGCTTCTGGTTCTCCTGAAGTGAAGGCAAAACATGCACAATGAAGGAAGATGCAGGATGTGACGCTAACAGCTTCAGATGTTTCAGATTGTTGAAACTGCAACAGTTTGAAACATTTGTTGCTGCAAAAAGTAAAGAAGTTTTAGATGTGTCCAAATTGATGCACTACAGTTATAGAGATGATTACATTTTAAGTGAAAACATCGTGTAAGATTGAAAATGAAGTTATAACAAAATGAATATCCAGAAAGTACATTATTTATCACTTAATAATGTCTAATTGTTCTAAAAAAATTTAATACTGAACAAAAACATAACAGTTTATTCATATTTCACTTATTAATACAATATCACAATCTATCTGGCATGTCACTGAATAAAACACCATCTATTAATATGACTTTTAATATGCTTAATATCAACATTTTAAAAGAAACTTTTGAATGGTAGTGTATAGGTGTGTCTGCGCAGTATAATATGTCTGTGTGCTGCTGTACGCTGCACAGTTGTATGCAAAATACATACTCTGAAAATAAGTTAAAACATTTTACAGAGAACATACTTTGGCTCACTTTAATGAACAATTACTGTTTATTTTTCTGAATTGATATATTGGAAGTGTGGTCAGTTGGCACTTTTTATATTTAGATTTTTTCCAACATATTAAACTCAGCAAATAAATAAAAATCGTGCAAAAAAATGTCAAAATAAAATGCCATATTTAAGTTGTGTCCCGGAGAGGACGTGTTAACTTATTTTCAAAAACAACAAAACATGTAATACCATTGGTGTCCAAACTTTTGCATATGACTGAATATGCTTTACCGTGTACCTGTTTGTCGGGTGAATCTCGATCTAATTTCCAGTCGTTGGCTTTGAGATGGTAGAGCTCATCAAACTTGAGGCTAATGTCTTCTATTGAGAGCTGCAGCAAATCCCAAAAACCAGCCAAGTCCTGAGCCGTGGGCCTGGGGTTAGCATTCACATTCTACAGAGACAGAGACAAACAGAGAGAGAAAGAAACGGAGAGGAAAGACAAAGTCAAGAAAACATTTTAGCATTACATGTTGCTGAATAAGGTAATGAAAAGTAACATTAACTGTTATGAAGGACATGCCTCAAACGGTTTAGCTGTCCTACCTCCATTGTACACAAGAGGGCAGTGTTACAATGTTAATCATCAGTACAATCTGTATGAGTTTTAAACTAAACCTCTGAGCTACTCTGATCTCATGTCTTCTTGGCCTCATTCTTAACTTCAATCATTATTAGACATCATGCTGTATGATCTGATCTCAACTCTTTCCTGAAACAACATAAAGGTCTGAACTCTGGATTTTCTGAACTCTCCTTGCCCCTTTGACGAGCTGACCTAGTTAGTCAACATGCTGTGGCTTGATGCTACTCATGATTTTTTAGAGCACATCATTTACTGAGTCGCACTGGGCCTCAATACACATATGAGGTACGGTGTCAAGTGTTCTGTGGTTATGGTTAGGTTAAAGCAGATGTGCTCATAGATACAAATGTCAATGTCAAATGTCTGAAATTGCAATTATGTATTTTTGCTGTGTGTGTGTGCGTGCATAGGAAGGAGGGAATGAAGTGGGAGAGAGAGAATGAGAGAGAGAGAGAGAGAGAGAGAGAGAGAGACTCACCAGGTTTTGTTCACACAACCCTCTAAACTGCTGAAACTTCTGAGACATGAGGAGCTGAGCACTGCCTACAGCACTGCGCACCTTACCTAACACTACACACACACGCGCACACACACGCACACACACACACACACACAGGGGAGAGAAAGAAAAACACCAACTAACGGTAAATATTCTTATGGGAATACAGGCCTTCTTACTATTAGTAACTGTAACTTAAAGGAATGAGTCATCAAAATATTGCATTTACACTATTGTCCCTCACCCTCACTTTTATTTAATTTCCAGTCAAAATGGCTGCTAAGTAGGTTCATATTTCAGCATCAGGAAAACAGCAGAAAACAAAGATTTAATGGATAATTACATAAGATCACGCACTGCATTCATTACAGCTTCCACTCTATCCAAGTAATCACACACACATTCAATGATGTTGAGGTCTGGACTCCGGAGTGGTCAGTCCATTGTCCCTAGAACACCAGCAGTGTTTTTATCTGATCTGCAAATTTTCTTCTTTTTTCTGACCATTTCCTTTTCTAACCAAAGTTACCAGCCTCAGCAGCTCTCGATGCCGAGCACTGCACTTTCTCCCTGAGAACATGGACAAAGTAGTTGGCTGTCTTTTGCTGGCTCGCACTTGCGGATGTTTGGTCTGATATGGTATGTCATTGTACTTGTGCTACTAGTGAATTTTATTACAGCATTACGTAGTTTATGTAGTTTGTGCCTTCTTGCAAAAAGTGGTCACACACAACACTCTTCTTAGCTGCACACGCCATTATGCTGTAGGTTGAGTGATGGAGAGTGGATTCCAAAAGAGTCCACATTTTTTGACTCTGTCTTCGACTCTGTCTTCCAATAGGTCTTTGACCGTCTGCTTGTCAGGGTCAACTCCGGGCCAATGACTCTGAGAGTCAGAAAGTGTGGCACTACTGGTTAAAATTAGATGGAGTCCCGGAGTCACCTCCATCCAGCGGCAGGAGTTGAGAGTTGGAGACGTACTCCAGAAAACCTGTTGTGCATCACTAAGTAGGGCTAGCTGAACAAACTGCACTTTTGCACCCTTATGTGCATGATTTAAAAACAGTCCTCAAGTTGAATGAAAAACTCCTCATATGTCAAATATTCATCACAAATTAAATTAACTTTTGTCGGTTTATAGTTCGATTAATCATGAACATCCCTAAATTTTATTCGATTTTTGTAGGGGAGTACTGTGGCTCTGTTCGGTCTGCATTTAGGGTCTACTGTAATGACGGGAGCAAACCTGAAATACAACCTTCACCCTTTAAATAGCTTTCCTGATCGACGTGGCCCTTTTGCTCTTTCAGTGAAACTTTTCCTCTTTCTATGAAAGAGGGAACCAGCACAAGCTTGTCCGAGTGTGTACGGATGCAATCAGATCACTGTATAATCAAGTTATCCTGATGAAGTTACAGGCTGAATGAGGTGTACACGCTGCCTTATTTGAGTGTGATTTACTCTCTGGATCTTTGAAACACTTCAGAATAGGACCAGGAGGACTGAGGAAGAAGTGAATTCTAACCTCAGCCTTTTAGTTAATGTAGCAATGGGAACAATTAGCTACAGCCTTAATCTAGGCTTTGAACCTCTCTGTGTATTTTATAGACATTCATCAGTGTGTGTGTGCATCAGTATAGAGTCAGACTGATGTTGGAGCCAGTGTGTGGGTCAGTATGTGCAGTGACTGGAGTGTGTATGTGTGTGTGAGTGATACCTGGTGTGAGCAGACAGACAGGCATGTAATCTGAGGAATTATGATAATCTACTCAGGCCCTGATTAAACCATAGATTAGCGCCTCAACAGCAGCCTAAAGTGCACACACATAGACACACACTGCAAATGTGTTTGTCCTGGAGATGAACTCTGGGATCAGCCTGCGGCAAATGCGTGCCAATCATGGCTTTCAGTTTTTAGGACTTGGACAGGCATGAGTTGTTTTAGCCAGTGGCAATACACACACAAACACACACACGCACACACACACAGAGTAGTGGTGTAAAAATACAGAGACAGACAGACAGACAGACAGACAGACAGACACACACACACACACACACACAGTAGTGGTGTAAAAATACAGACAGACACACACACACACACACACAGTAGTGGTGTAGAAATGCATCAGTGCATCATCATGCATTAGCCTGAAAGTGGTAATCCAACTGTATTGATTTTGGAACATTCCAAACAGTTCTAATTGACTCTAATTATATTCAATACAGTAAGCACTAATGTTTTGGGCTATTTTTGAATGTGAAAATTTCAGAAAAATGCTTGCATTGTTTTATCAGACATTCCACTACTGTGTAAACAGTTCCTTCAGATATTTTTTTTATTCAGGGCTCAATATGCTGAGACTTTTGTGCCAGTATCTGGCTCGAATTAGACACATTCTGCCTACGTTATGCACGAAACTGGCCCATGAGCCTAAACGTACAGTTTATGGGTCATGTGCATGGAGAAACTGTGCGGTTATCTCTCTCATGCATATGAATGTGAGGGAGGACTGTGTAAAATGTAAGAGGATCATGCCAAAAATGGGGAGGGATGTTGGAAGTGCAATTGATCACATATTCCACTCAATTTACTAACATTTAAGCAACTCACTATAGTCAATAGAGCATGGATTTACCTCTGCCCTTAAAAATTAGGCAGATATTTGCAGTAATGTCTCAAAGGCATGTTTTTGGGAGACTTCCTGTAACAATGGCAACAACGGTTCCCCAAATTCTTTCCCAAATTTCGCTGTTAGTAGACAGTCTTGTGCACAGTTTGCATGATTAGCTATAGCCTTCCTAAAATATTAATTTCAGACACTGTGTGTTCATAGTGCAACTGCCTCAAGGCCAGTTTTTTGCACCACTTATAACATTTATGTGGTTTTATGTACCAAAAACTGTCATAATTAATGTTTACATGACCATTTTCCAACCTCACTATACCCATGTGAAGTAAACAGGCCATATTTGTTACTGTGTTTTAAGATTTGTACATAAATAAGCTCTTTTCTGTCTGGCTTCTCTGTGTTATGCCTCTTTCAAAATTCACAGTTGAAACATTCTTATAATTTTGTGAATGGGTGTGGCTAAACTCACAAAGGCTGAATAGATGCATATATGTAAATGTGTTGGTTCTCATGACATCACAGAAACAATGATTTGAAACAGGCTGTTCTTGCAGCTTAGTTTCCTTATGTGCATATGTTTACATATTACTTCATGCTTCTTTATTTCAAAAGAGCGAGGGAAATTTCATTTTCCACAATATAGGCCCTCTTACCCTCCTCGGAGAGCTGATGCTCTTTGGTCTCCTCTTCCATCTGTTTGCACCATCCCTCCATCCGTCCAGTCTCCGCTTGCAGGAGCTTCAGAAACCAGTGACCATCCCGTCTGCATGCCGTCATCCCGCCTGTCGACGTCTGGGCGGGGCCTCCGTTCCCTGTCCCGTTCCCACTCTCCAACCAGGGGTCAGGTGGGGGTAGTGAGGAGGGGTCGAGGGCGGGGTCTAAACTCTCAGAGAAAGAGGAAGAACTACTCCTCGTCGTTGAGCGGTTGGTCAGGAGCTGCCGGGAGGGGCCGCTGGTTGTCACAACATCGTCGTCGTGGCTACCATTGTCGAGGGAGAGTTGTGCGGAGAAGTCCACTGATTGGCTAGAGCTGTTGACCATGACTTTCTTCTCGGCGGGTCTGGAAGTGTTGTTGGACGTGACGGTGGTGACAGAAGTAAGCGAGAGATCTTGTGTATCTGAGTCAGTTTCCTGCTTTGAGGCCATACTACTGGAGCGGCTGAGTCTGTGTACACACAGACACAAAACCGGAATTAGTACATTAACCTTGAGAAGTCTCAGTTCTCAACAAAAGCATGCTGTAATTATATATGAGTTACTGTTACCCGTAGCACACTGAAACAAACTGAGAAATTCTGTTAATATCTGTCCATTGTCAGAGATATTTTATTCTTATTTGAATTTGACAAAAAGCTTTAGTGCTGTCATGGTTTGAGGAAAGAAATACAGCTTTACATTTTGGCAATTTTTTATCGTTTGACTTCAAAACAAATAGGAAAAACTGGAAGTGCAAACTCAAAACTGTCAATATAGAACGTACACTGAATTTAACTGTGAATGTAAATGCCATGTAAACTACCCATGTAAATATTTAACTATATAATAACATTTCAATAAGTATGTATTATATCACTGCTGTTGGAACAAAACCTTGTATCTCCATTTTTGTTGTTTTCAGTTTTTGTCATAATTTGAAAATGCTTGTTGCCATTTACACTGTGTGTAAATTTCATGTACACACCAAAACATGGCTTTGAAAAAAGTCTGTTTCCACTGACTTACATTGAAAGTAAATTTTGCAGATATGAGGTTTCGTTCCGACAGCAGTAATATATCGAATGTATCGCAGGACAATAAACTTGAGACATGTAGACCTGCTTGGCAGGTGAGCCTCATTTTGCCACAGAAGGTGAAACTGTTTTGCCGTTGGAGTGACATTGTAATAATAACTCTAGATTCCTAGGGTTAAATTACGCTGCCATAATGAACAGTAATGACTTTGCTACTGAAGAATCTTATCTCAACTCTAGTGATGCAATGTATCATATTCAGTCTTGACTGGCAGGTTCTAATCAAAGTGCTGTGTCAAAGAACAGCATAACTAGCACCTGACCTTGGCTTCTGTCTTATGTGTCACTGATATAAAACCAATACATACAACAGGAAACAGCTCAAAGTGAAATCTTGACTGAAAAGTGCTGAATCTGTGTTGTATCTACTGTTACAGCAGACAGAGACAGAGCAGCAGATTCGAGCAGGAGGTTGTGGCAGGAAATGCAGTGCAAAACTGTGATATGATTATGTCATACACAGCTATCTTTACTGGCAGTGCGTGACAACATGTTTTATCTGTGAAGCACAGCGGTTTTGTCACCTGTTTTGTATGTCACACACTAAATGTATGCTTGCGCTTGCAAACTACTACAAAAACAAAAACAGAACTACAGCATGTGCGACACAGGTGACAACTTCACTTGCTTGACAGATATTAATAAAATCTGCTGTTTCTTATTACAGGAAACAGGAAGAGGAAAACAGTGAGACAGGAAACACTCACGTCCAGCCGTCCTCCACTTGTACTCCGATCGACTGGAATCTGGCCAATGGTGGCGTCTCCACTCGGTTCTGGATTTCCTGGATGCAGTCCACCTAGCGTTTAATCAGAGGACTGTGTTTAGGAACATTCATTCAATCTAAAGCTCACTTATGTTAGGAGAAAGCAATATAACCAAATGTTAAAGGCATTCTGCACACTCAAACACCAGGCAGCAATCAGGAATAAGAGCGTTAATAGTTTCTCTGTTAGGTCAAATATCCAGTCTTGGCAGGCCAGTTCTGCTGATTTCAGTGTTTTCCTGCTCTAACATGCTTACTCAACTCACCAGGTAATTAACAAGACCTTCATGAACTGAATAAAAAAAGAGCTGTGCCTCGGTGCTAAGATGTGCAGTGCTGTAGACAAGGAGAGAAGGGAAAACATCTTGGCAGTGCTATGGCCCTCCGTGGCTGAAGTCTGACACCTCTGCTGTACATGTAAAGTTACTGCTCAAGGAGCTTTAAACGGTATGCTGGGAATATAGCTGCAGGGCTAAATGCTTCGCTTTGGAAACTGCTTGCTTTAGCTTCAGACTCTGAATCCCTGAGCCCAGTCTAAGATTTGCTCAAAGTCATGCGATTAACCCTTGATACTCTAGGCAATGTGAACTGTCTTGGGGGCCCTGAGGACTGGGTTGAGAAACACTGCAGGAGCTGTTGGGGGTCCCAACTTCTATTCTTCACAACCATATTTTAGAAGGCCTGAAATATTGGTCCAGTCCTGAAGATGAGCACACTTCGTCTGAGACCTGCCCCAATCCACAGCACCAAGTCCGAACCCAAATCCAACTGCAGCCCAACAAATTTCTGTTCCAAACCCAAAGCACCAACCAGAGAATAAGCTCCACATTCTCAATGAGCAACAACAGCCATAATGAGATCACTGATAAACAAAATGAAAAGCCTATTTATTAGCTATCAATCAATGCCTTTGAACAACATCCCAAAACGTTGTCATTTACAATAACTTTACATAGTGCGTACTCATGCTAGCCTCACCGGAGTCAGTGCCCATAATGTGTGTGACTCTAGTGTGCCAGATTAAGAATAGCTGAAGGTAAAAAAAGTAAGGAGGAACAAAATAAAGTAGGAAGAAAAAAGTGAAGCAGCAGTAAATGCAGACTAAATTCTATTAAAAGGTGGACAAGGGGTCTGTGTTTTCCACCCACCTGTATTCCAATGGAGGAGAGTTTCCGGCGGGGTACAGGCTCTGTCCTGGGCTCGTCTGCTGTGAGAGCGCCCCCCTTCACCTGGTCAGTGTGGATTTCTCGAGGGGGCTCTGGAGAAACCACAACCGCCGCGGGGATCTGCGGCTCTCGGGAAGTGGCCAGAGGCAGCTGCGGCCGCGAGCCTTTGGCCAAGCTGTTGGCCCGCGTGCTGTCGAGGCTGTCCGAGGAGTTGCTGTGGCCCGACTGGCTGTTGACCTCGCTCTTGCGGTCGTGGTTGTCAAGGTAACCGTCCTGGGCTGACTCGGTGCTGCTCTGCACTGTGACAGAGATGAAGGGTTTGGAGGTGGTCCGGGGGGGCACGGGGGGTGGAGCTACCTTCTTACATGTGGTTATACACGTTGAGACTGTAGAGAGGAGCAGGAAGGGTAACAGATTAGTCTAACATACAAATACATCTATTTACATCTTAAGCCCTGTTCAAGCTGGATTAGTTTACCTTTGAGATAATTTGGAAAAACATAATTTACATGATTACAGTTGTCCATAGTTTTTATCTGACTTATTATTATTATTATGTAATAAACCTGTTCTGTTTATCTCGACTTACCACTTACTACAGTTGTGGCTTAAGTACACACATTTAATAAAGTATTAAGACATGAACATATTTTTACATTTTTTATGTATTTTATATTAGTAATCCTTTGGATTATGTTGCAGATTACATATTAAAGTAATCTGTATTGGAATACATTTTAAAGTAGCCCTCCAAACGCTGCTTATCAGTCAATTAAATCTCTTACAGATCACCTTACAGTACCTCCTGTGGTGAAACTACCCCAACTTGAATAGGGTTTAAGACCCTGGTTTCCAATTCTGGTCCAGGAGCACCCCAGATGTCCACATTTCAGTGTTTCCCTGCTTTAACACACCTGAAATAACTAATAAATCATTTATAAACCCTTCCTGAACTGAAGTGGGTGTGTTAGAACAGGCAGAACACTAAAATGTGCAGGAACAAGGCTTCTTCCAGACCAGGATTTGCAACCACTGATCTAATAATACAGAAAGCTAGAAAAATGGCCACAACAAAACTTCCAACTTGTTTTTTAACCTATTAACTTTGTTTTAAGATACAGGGAATGCAGTTTTTGGTATTATAAAGATGACTGCAGACCAACTAATACAGTTTCCACATACTATTTGCTTACACAGTGTCTCCCTGTGACCCACAAGCAAAGACATACAATTAGCTGTAATATGATTTCAGGCCTTCTGGAAATGCAGAACACAGCTGACCAACAGCAAGTATTTACAGCTATCTGTTTGGGTGTGCTTCATAGAAAGGGCATGGTGAAGACAAAGACCCATTCAGCCCACACCCCAAAGCATTCTGGGATACAATGTGAGTGGGCAAAAACACAGGAAATGAAGTCAGTGCAGTCCATTCACAGGCTCTAATGTTCCCCCGATAACCTTATTACACCAAGCAGCCAAAGATCTCTTCTCTCTCTGCTTTCGCTCCTCTCTCACTTCCTTACTCCATCCATCTTCTTTTCCCTCTTTCTCTATCTGTCTCTCCATCTGCATACGTTGTACTTTTCTCCATGCCTATCTCCATCCATTATCAACCCATTAGATTAACTGTGGACCTGTATGTGCATAGAATTGAGCTGTATGTGCATAACTTTGCATTCTCCGGGTCATCAAACCAGCAGAACCGAGGCTTGTTTGCGATACACCCCGGACGAAAAGGCTGAAGCAGCCGTGTGCTGAGTGTTTACAAGAGCATCCATTATATTCATGATGAAGTGGACCTCACACAGTCTGTGATGAAGCGCTGTTCAAGCACTAAGTGGGGTTTACACAGTCTCCTTTATATGAGTGGTACACAAGTTCAACATCCTGTATATAATGGATTAGAAGTAATCGTGTCTCAACGTCAGCATACATGCGCACACAACATGCTCAGACGAGTATCCTTGAAGACAGTGAGTCCACTATGATCAAGGAGTGTTATGATACGAATATTAATATCCTTAACCCCTTAAAATCCCAGGCTTATTACATACTAAGGCTTATTTTTCATTGACTACATGCACTTCAATGCAAACTAGTTGAGCTGTTTTTAGGTTATAGTATGTGTGTGATAAAACTTTGGGCCCGCCAGCAGGTCCTGGCCACTTAAGGGGTTGAAAAAAACAAACAGGAATACAGCTAAATTTTATGACATCAACAATATGTGATATCAGACAAACTGACATAAATCCACACTAGAGATGCTAGAGATCGGAATCAACCAAGATTGGAACTGACAGATTTTGCTCCAAACATGCAACTGCCAATCAACCAATTTATTACTGTGATTTTAGTTAATCTGTGCTGCAATTTTATGACTTAGATATCATGAATGAGGTAACTGCACGCATGCCATATTTTAATGCTGCTGCTACACCTATACCAAAATGTTTTAGTACAATTATGCATAACTCATTGGGCTAAATAATCAGCTGCCTCTTATTTTCAATGTGGCACTAGAGGTGGGAAGTATGACGATACTTATCCAATATGTCACAACATGCTTATCTGAGCATATTGTAGGCATCGGCAGCACTCAAAAAACACTTCTTAATTTCATGTTTGATCACAAAGAGCATAATTATTCATGTTTAATCAGATTTTGTGCAGCTTAGTATGTGCAAAGTTACAAATAATATATTATACAAAAAATAAATAAATAAAATATAAAAAGAATTAAATAAAAAATTATAGTTTTTGATAGTAATTTTTAAATATGGCACTACTTTATTCTAACTTATAGGTCATCAGAAGAAAATAAATATCAGGACATATGTATCGTGAAAACTTCTTAAAGTATCATGAGAATTACATTTTGCCATATACGAGTCATGTTATTTAAACAAGCAAACCATTTTTATTTATGAATTTAAGGTGCCAGTTTGCCTCAATAAGGAGAAAAAAAACTGGGGTTTAACTTTAAAAAAGTAAATCAATTAAACTTCTAATAGTAAGTTAACAGAACAAAAATCTGTGTCTTAAGCTCTGTCAACTTACTATTTGAATTTTAATTTATTCACACTTTTAAGGCAGCCTTTTTAACACTCCTTGATATTCCTAAAAGACCATGAATTAGAAAAAGAACTCTCCATACTGAAACCATTTACATTTAAATGTATTGTAGGATACTGTATACATAAGAGTAAAATGAAATGGTCATATTTTACAACAAAAACCACAATACATATCATATTCTGAAACGTGCATATCATTACACCCCTACTATCACCTATAAATGGAGGAGAGATTGTTTTGCAGAAAATTGGCCGTTTTGGCTCGCAGTGGGGATCCATAGTTTGGCCTTTGACTGAGAGCATCTCCATCTCTCACTGCATGTGTGTGAGCTGCCAATGTTTATGGTAGCGGAGCACTCTGACGCAAATTCACTCCACTGCTCCCCTTTTTCCAACACCACTGTTGTTTTTCCAGCCCTTATGAGGTCTCAGTAGGTGGGTGAGTGCCCAGTGTGTGCGCTTGTGTGAGAGAGAGAATGAGAGAGAGAAAGAAAGACAGTGAGAGAGAGAGCAAGAAAGAGAGAGACAGAGAGAGAAAGACAGGCAGTGAGTGAGACAGGGAAAGAGACAAACAGTGAGACACAAAGAGAAAGACAGCAATACAGAGAAAGACAGAGAGAATTTATGAGTGTGTAGGCGAGTCTGTGGGTTAGCGGGTGCAATCGGAGGGAGTCTACAGAGGTGTTTGTTATGCTAGGAGAAATGTGGGTTTTGTGTGTGTGTGTGTGTGTGTGTGTGTGTGTGTGTGTGTGTGTGGCAGCATGAGGTGACACGGGCATATTTTGGGGGATTTGGGTGGAGCTGGCAGATGGCCGACCTGGAATCAGAAGGAAATGATGGCAGAGAGACCACAGGAATCTCACCACATGGTGTGTGTGTGTGTGTTTGTTTTGCTTTCTGCATATTGTGCACACTGACCTAGAGGTTAGGCTGTGTTTTTGTGCTACACTATAGTTAATTTAATTTTTCATACTTTGTGTACATCAGTGTGCGTTTTAATATGCTCTGAATGAATAGCATCAACATAACTATGTAAGTTTGGGGGATTTGGAGACCTCTCTGGTGGACATGTGCAATTGCATGCAACGTGCAGAAGAACATTTTGTAACATTGGTTGTGCTTCAGACTCCTTCCCCCATTAGATGCGTGTTCAAAGAGTATGCAAAGAGAACTCAAAACATGGTGAAGGACGTGTCTTGCGAGGATGGAAATGAATTATCTACTACTATCATAATATTTTCATCAGTATAATGTTCATTTTGCATTTTTGGACCTTCTTTTTGAGCCTGTATGTGTGACAACTGCATGTAAAGACGTATGACGTATTCTGAAAATTTTTCCAAATCTGACCAGACACCTCTGGCTTTGAAATGATTAGACTTGCAGCAGCACATGTATGTTTAACTCTGATCTTAAACTAGTAAACTGAACGTTCATTTTAGACACACTGCAAGCACTTTTTAATCTGCACCTTCTCACGTATAAATCTGGCCCAAACAGTTGAGAAGAAAACATCCGCTCTCCTGTTCCTATTTGGTCCCACAGCATGTTTTCAAACTGTACTCACTCACTGCTGACCACTGCACAAATCCTCTACAAATATGTGAGAGTTTGAGGAAAACAAGTAGGACAAAGGTGTTGTTGAATTTGATCCATGTTCAGTGGTGTTGTAGTTTTTTGCTGTTGAATGATCTTGATTTTTTGCTGATGACGATGCTGCTTAACAAAAAAAGCATGTAGTCATAACCTGAAGTACATATCCATACTATTGTCCAATGTGTAAGATGGGCGTCATGTCAAATCTGTTGAAAACACTTACATTAACACAGTGTTAGGACTATCCTCTCATTCTTTCCGTTAAAGATTCCACCAGTCAAGGCGACTGACTCTACATATCTGGAGTGGATACAGAGGACAGTTTGAACAGTCTTTAAATACCATCCTCATGACACAGACACAAGCCTCATGGCCCCCATCTTTAACTAACACTGAACCACTGCATACAAGTCTGAGTTAGGAAGACAAAAAGTAAGGCTGTCCTTTTTCATTCTCACTCCAAGATTATTTGGTTCTCACATTTATTCCTAATCATAAGGGATGCACAATGATATTGGAAACATATAAGTATTGGAAGATAATTGCTTAAAAATTGAACGGCATTGACAAGTTTAGATTTGACCCGTATTTTTAAACTGATTTTTGATGAAGTATTTGTACTCTAGAAGAGCAGAACATTTAGCTGGCACTGGCATACCGTGATAAAATCAACATTTTATTATTTTTTAAATCTTACTGCTTTTGCACCTCCTTAG